CTTTGTAACCACGAGAGTAGGTTGTATTCATGACTCAAGTAATCCCTCTAGCTTGAGAGAGTAGTTGGGTGCCTTAGATGACTTCCCCTAATTTATTCCCAAATTGCTATGTTTTGTATGTTAAATTGTAGTTTGTGAATGACTTAATTGGTGGATACCTTCCCAAGATCCTTTTTATTATTATTTGTAGTTTTTCATTATAAGCTAAAACCCAAAAAGACTTGACTTAGCTTATCACAAATCGATACTTGTTAGTGCTCCCCTTAGTCCTTGTGGGATCGACCCTTACTTGCCCTTTCTACCCATTAGAGAGATCAAGTTAGGTTTTTATCTTTTGTAGGCTTGACGACGACCTATCATTAAACATGCTTTGGTTTGTCTTAACACTCAATCTCCAAAGGTAAACAACGCTTTGCTAATGGCTCCAAGCCACTCTTGGTTGAATAAATCGTCGCATCTAATTATCTCTCAACAATTTATTCACTTTGCCATGACATGTTAGAACTCCATCACTCATATCGTTGAGTACAACCAACCAACTTGCATACCTGGTATGCCTTACTTCCTAGGAGAGGTAGTGATGCCTCGCTTTGGCGTAGCCCACCACTACCCTCGTTCGGCCGGTAAGTGTTGTTTTGGAATGACAAGTTTTTACTCAATATTTAGGGACCTAGGGTTTCTATGTTGGTTGATTTAAGTGAAATTAATTAATCATTACAACATTCGAAATCCTAAACATGCATCTAACATATATATATATATATAATGAAAAACATAAATACAGATGCATTTGGCAACTAGCATGACCCCTTGAGATCTTTAAATCTTCAAAAGATCTTCATTTGCAACATCATGGCTAGGTATTCCAAGAAACTCTATCTTCAAGACTTGACCATAATTAAATGCAACTACTAGTATCTACAATTAGGACTAATCTAAATATTAAGGTACAAAAATACACAACGGTACGCAGACCTTATTTAGATTTACAAAAATACATCACGGATCGCAGTCCGTATTTTCTATCCTAATCGGGCCCCACTAGCTATCATTTCATAAAACCTGTGAGAGAACATACATTCCATTCATAAATTCACTATTTGTGAATGGCCCATGCATTTTACAATGGTAAACAAGTAACAATGCAAATAAAACACGCGTGAGCTAGTAACTAATCTAGGTGGTTAATCAAATTAATACGCCTAATTAAAACTAGTCAAAGTGGTTTTAACCAGTTATGTAAATAAGCGCAATTTAATTTTTGAAGCCCCCACTAAATTCCGCATCTAACTTAATTAATCCAATTAATTAAGCCGGTAATTCCCAAAATTTGTCAAAATATATTTTGCCAATGCCACTCAAAACCGAGGCCTAGCCTCCAAAAATTTATTAAAATAATTGAAACAAATTAGATTAATAAAAATAATTAAAACGACAATTTTTAAGCAAAATTATGTAGTCTAAAGTGTCTAAGTGCCAAGCACTAAGACACGGAGTGCTCACATTTCGCACAACCGTTAGATGCTCAATGAACGTGGGAGTAGGCTGATGTCACTAAGCGTTACACCGCCCACATCAGCGAACTTTCACACATAAAAGACGTGGCCCTTAATAGCCATGTTGAACGAATTCATTGCATTACATTGCTTCGCGAGCAACGTCTACGCATACCCCTAATTACATAATACATGCACCAAGTTTAAACGATGCACCATGTGCTCGTGTCCTGCATCACCGCGCCACAGCAGCCCCAAGTGCACGCAACACAGCACACACGCACGCACGCACATGGCAGCGTGCTGTTGTGCTGCACTGCTTGTGCAGCTGCTGCTTGCGGCCGCGCGCACCAGCCGCGCGATGGCTGCACGCACAAGGCATGGTAGCCCCTTGGCAGCCACATGCGGGCTGCTATGCAGCCCGGCTAGCCAAGGGCGTTCAGGCCTTGGTTTGCGTGCCATTAGCCTATGGATTTGGTCCCCAAAAAATTTTGCGTGACTTTCGAAATTACTTCTAAATGAATTTTAGAACTAATTTTAATGAGCAAAATCAAAAATTTAAATAAGTCTAACTCAAATAAATTTTTTAAAGTGCATGCAACCAAAATAATTCCCAAGAACCATTCTTTAATTAAATTGATTTAACTTGGAGCAATAAAAATAATAGGGCAAATACTCACTATTAGTTTAATTTATTTAAATTAACTTTGAGTTTTGACAAAATAAGAGAAAGTCGGAAAACTTAAACATAAACTTAATAAAGATTCCAACATTAATACTTGTGAATCCTTGAAAAATTATATCTTCCATTATGAGGATAAACAATTTTTCTATCACAAAGTTTCAAACTTTATGATTCCAACCAACTAAAACATGATTAAATTAATAAAGTTTAACAAAAATTCATGGAATTTAGTAATATAAAGTTTCAAACACTTAACATAATTAAAGATTGAATCTTTAATACTTGGAAGCCTCAAAGAACAACAATTTCACACTTAATGCAATTAGTTTGCAATTATGTGAAAAATAAAACCAAGCATTCAAGCACAAATTACTACCAAGTAATCATGCCTAAAGAGGTTTAAAATTGCATATAAAATATGTATTGAACCAATTACATAACCACCATAAATATGCAATTAATTTTCAAGGTTAGAAAGACTTAAAATTTTTCATAAAAATGAAAAAACCCTCGAAAATAGCATTTATGGTTGTTTTTTGGCTAAAAACCGCTTCCTGGAAGTATAAACCATTTCCAGAACATGTTTTCCACCCAAAATTCACTATTTTTGGGTCAAAATCTGGGTTCGGGGCTGAAGGTAGCTTAAATACGAGGTTAAAATAGATAATACGAGTTACTAATCTAATTAGCAACTTAAACTAGAAAAATTAAGCCATAAAAAACACCTTGATAAAATATTATGATTTTAAAAATAAACGAGCGTGGCTCAGATACCGCTGTTGGGGTTTGGTAAGTCCAACTTACCGCGAAAACGACCCCGACCCAAAGAACCACTAGCAATTAATAAAACCATAAAGCATAAACATAAAGCATATCAAATAAAAATAAAAGGATAGAATCGTAATTGACCTTTGACGCGTGCTTCGCCCTCAAAGACGGGCTCTTACTTGAAAGCTTTAGCCCCGCTCAAATGAGAGCCTCCAACGGTATCCACCCACAAAGGATGAACACCGACTTTTTAGGTCCGCTACCTTGGAATTAGCAATGTCCGACCAAAACCCGAGTGATTAAATGGGTTCAAAGGTTTTCACAATGGTGATGCCTTTTTCAACTCTCACTCAAGTGATTTTCCCAATACCCCAACTTGGTTATTTATAGGGAAAACAAGAGAGTGAAAAAGCTCTCCCATCAATGTGGGAGAAATTGATTTTTCCATTTTATTTTAAAGCTAAAATAAAATAAATAATCAAACTAGTAATAAATCAACAAGTGGCAAGCTCATGAGAGAGGTTAGGTAAGGACCATTTGGAAGAGGGGGGGAACCAAACTTGCTCCCCACTCCCTCTCCAAAAACCGACCACCTCATGCCTCAAGCTTCCCCTCACAATGCTACACATGACACCACACATGGGCACCAAGGCAACCCAAGGTGGGCTGCCATGTGCGGCTGCCAGCACGCCCAGCTCAAGCGTGCGGGCTGCTTGGCGTTGCTGGCCTAGCACGCCCAGCACTACTTGTGCGGGCTACTTGGCGCTGCTGGCCTAGCACGCCCAGCACTTGCTTGTGCGGGCTGCTTGGCGCTGCTTTCCTAGCACGCCCAGCACTTGCTTGTCCGGGCTGCTTGCACACTCGGCCAGCAAGCCGCACATCAATGATCCGGACTGCTAGCTGAGTGCCTTGCACCTTGCGTGCGTTGGCCCAACATAGCTAACATGTTGTGCTAGCATTGGTGCGCTAGCACGCACTTGCCAGCCTAGGCTTGGCTTGGTGCGCATGCTAGCCACCATGATATACCAAATGCCCCTAGTACTCGGTTTTCCTGGGGCATTCCAATGCTAGGGGTATTTTGGTCTTGTTGATTTATTATTTTCGTGTCTCGTCTTTTATTGTTTTGAATCGACTTCTGACACTCGGTTTCGACGCTCTAAGCTCGAATTTCCAACGTCTAAATATTTAATATTCGGGCGACGAATTAATTTCTTCCGAATTAATTCGTCGAGTCGGTTCGTATATTTGCTAGGGTGTGACCCGAAGGGTTCAGTCAAGATTAAGCTATAATATTAATTATACATTAATATTACTAATCGAAAGCGGCCTTCACCCAGGCATTCCGATCACTTGACCTTGCTGAATATATTAGCTTTCTAATAATTCTGAACCCGCTATCAGAATAATACACTTGTTCGAAGGACACCATTCCTTTCACTTCTAGGACTAATTTGGAGGAAATAATTGATAATCAAACCAAGTTGTTGAACAAATACATGGCCATTAGTGACAAGAAGTTCAATGAGATGATGACACATAACAAAATGCTCGAAAACCAAATTTCTCAACTTGCTAATGCTTTGAAAGACCAAGCAAGCCCTTCTTCTTTACCTTCCCAAGGCCTAGATCCCAAGAAACCCGTGAATGCTATTGTTACAAGGAGTGGTAAGGTTCTTGAGGAGAGATTGCTTAGGAGGAGTGAAGACAAGGAGGTCCCCAAGGAAGCTTTGGTTGATGAGAATGAAACAGATAGAGCATCTTTAGATGAGGTTGTGGTTGAGACACCAAGAGAGGTGAGAGTAGAGAAAGAGATTGTGAAACCTAAACTCCCTTATCCCCAAAAATTCATAAGACATAAATTGGATGAGCAATTTGGGATATTTATTGACATGCTCAAACAACTTCACCTTTCTCTACCTTTCACCGATGTGATCAACAAAATGCTTAACTATGTCAAATTCCTCTAAGACATTTTGATTGGTAAAAGGACTTGTGATGTTTTGGAGAATATCAAATTGATTTAAAATTGTAGTGCGATCATCATGAACAAAATGCCACCCAAGTTGAAAGACCCCGCAAACTTCTCCATCCCTTGTGCTATTAACAAGATGCAAATTGATAATGCCCTATGTGACTTAGGAGCTAGTGTAAGCCTAATGCCATTTTCGTTTTATCAAAGACTTCATCTAGGGGAACTCTTACCTTCTAACATTACCTTGCAACTAGTTGATAGGTCAATCATGTTTCGAAAAGGTAAAGTGGAAGATGTTCCATTGAGGGTTTGGAAGTTTGTGTTCCCGGTGGATTTTGTTGTTCTAGAAATGGATGAAGATGCTACCATTCCTATCATTCTAGGTAGACTCTTTCTTGCTACCTCGGGTGCTATGATAGGTTTCAAGTGTGCAAAGATTTCCCTTAAGGTAGGAGATGAGGTCATAGAATTCGATTTGAATGAAAGCATGAAATATCCAAGTTCTTCTATTGAAAATTGCATGATGAATGACTCCCTTTATCATGTTGTGTCTTGCATGCATGAGCACTTGCTCACCTCTAACGATGCTCTTTAGAATGTTTTATTGAACAAAGATAAGCTAGGTGCACCATGCAAGGAGATGACATTGTATGAGGAATTGCTTAATGGAAGATGGAGGAAGTGGATGAAAAATTGTGCTTGAAGATCTCAAGCCATGAAGCTTTGCAAGCGGCCGCAACAAAAGAAGGTAAAGGTGTGCCTATGGTAGAGCTCAAACCTCTACCATCACACCTTAGGTATAAATTCTTAGGCACAAATTCCACTTACCCCATAATTGTTAGTGCATCCTTGAGTGAAAGCCAATCTCAAGCGTTATGTTGTGTCTTGAGAAACCACCAAGGTGCTTTGGGCTATACTATTTATGATTTTAAGGGTATAAGCCCCGCTTTGTGTACACACCACATAACGCTTGAGGAAGGCACTCTTCCTTCTATTAAACGATAAAGAAAGCTACACCCTCAAATAGGAGAGGTAGTGAAAAAATAGATCACCAAGCTCTTGGATGCGGGAATCATATTCCCCATCTCAAACTCTAGGTGGGTCCCTCCCGTTCATGTCATTCCTAAGAAGGGGGGTATGACCGTAGTCAAGAAGGAGAGAGGTGAGCTCATTCCAACTAGGAAGGTCACCGGTTGGAGGATGTGTATAGACTATAGACGTCTAAATACATCTAACAAAAAGGATCACTTTCCCCTTCCATTCATTGATCAAATGTTAGAGTGACTAACAAGGCACAAGTTCTATTTCTTCCTTGATGGCTATTTGGGATTTTTCCAAATCCCAATCCACCCCGAAGATCAAGAGAAGACAATATTTGCATGCCCCTATGGGACCTTTTCTTATAGGAGAATGCCCTTTGGTCTTTGTAATGCCCCCGCAACTTTCCAAAGGTGCATGATGAGCATTTTTGGAGACATGTTGGAGGAAGAAAAGGAGGTATTTATAGATGACTTCTTCGTAGGTGGGGTTTCATTTGAAGAGTGCCTTGTGAATCTTGAGAAATGTTTGGCACGGTGTGTGAAGGTTAATCTTTTCTTGAATTGGGAGAAGTGAAACTTCATGGTGGAGGAAGGAATAGTTCTTGGACACAAGATCTCTCATAAAGGAATAGAGGTGGATAAGGCCAAGATCGAGGTTATTAAGAAGCTTCCACCTCTGGTGAATGTCAAGGGAGTGAGATCATTTTTGGGACATGCGGGCTTCTATAGAAGATTCATTAAGTATTTCTCACTCATTGCCAAGCCCCTTAATGATCTTCTTCAAAAAGATATTGAGTTTGTTTTTGATGGTAAACTCTTGGAGGCATTTAATAGATTGAAGAAGGCCCTAATCTCTACCCCCATTGTTCAAGCCCCGAGATGGGATTTACCCTTTCAATTGATGTGTGATGCTAGTGATTGGGCAATTGGAGGTGTTTTGGGACAACGTGTGGACAAGAAGATTTATGTGATTTACTATATGTCCAAGACACTAAATGAGATCCAAAAGAATTACACAACAAAGGAAAAATAATTCTTGGCCATTGTTCACTCTTTTGAGAAATTCCGATGTTATTTGTTGGGTTCCAAGACCATTGTCTTCACGGATCATGCGGCTCTCAAGTATCTCTTTGCCAAGAAAGAGTCCAAGTCAAGGTTGATTCGTTGGGTGCTTGAATTACAAACTTTTGAAATAGAGATTAAGGACAAGAAGGGTGAGGAAAATGTTGTGGCGAACCATCTTTCTCAACTTGATGGTGATCAAATTCATGGTGATGGTTTACCAATTGAAGATAGAATGCTTGATGATGTCTTGTATGCCATTAAGGTAAAGGAGCTCCCATGGTATGCCGACTTGGTGAATTTTCTAGCATGTGGGGAGTTTCCACCTTCTTTCTCCAAGAACCAACAGAAGAAACTCAAGAGGGAGGCAAGACATTACTTGTGGGATGATCCTATCTTGTATAAACGAGGGATTGATGGCTTGCTTAGGCGTTGTATTCCGAATGAAGAGGTGCCCAGTGTTCTAAAGATGTGCCACTCGGATCCTAGTGGTGGCAAAATGGGTGTTTCCAAAACCGCCACTAAGGTTCTTCAATGTGGTTTGTGGTGGCCACATCTCTTCAAGGATTCATGGGGCTTTGTAAAGTCATGCGACCGATGTCAAATAGTTGGGAATATCTCCAAGAGGAATGAGACGCCTCAACAACCTATTCTTAAGTTAGAGGTGTTTGATGTATGGGGGATTGACTTCATGGGACCATTCCCATCTTCATATGGGAATCAATTCATACTTGTGGTTGTGGAATATGTTTCTAAGTGGGTTGAGGCCATTGCTTCCCCAACAAATGACCATAAAGTAGTGTTAAAGTTGTTCAAAAAAATCATTTTCCTAAGGTTTTGTGTGCCTAAGGCTGTGATAAGTGATAACGGTTCTCATTTTGTTCACAATGCCTTCTAAATGATGTTGAGGAAACATGAAGTTCATCAACGGTTTCAGCCTTCCATATCATCCTCAAACGAGTGGCCAAGTCGAGGTCTCCAATCGTCAAAAAAAGCTTATTCTTGAGAAGACGGTTGCAAGGAATAGAAATGATTGGTCGGACAAGTTAGATGATGTTCTTTGGACCTATAGAACGGCTTTCAAGACACCTATTGGCACCACTCCATATCGCCTTGTCTATGACAAATCATGCCATCTCCCGGTGGAGCTTGAACACCGTACTTTGTGGGCAATCAAGAAGATAAAATTTGATTTAGAAAGTGCGGGGGAGAAAAGGTGGTTGGATCTTCATGAGCTAGAGGAGCTTAGACTTGATGCTTATGATTGTGCCAGTACCTACAAAGCTCGTTCTAAGGAAGCTCATGATAAGTTTATTGAGAAAAAAGAGTTTTGTGTTGGTGATAAAGTCCTCCTCTACAATTCAAGAATGAAGTTATTTCCCGGAAAGCTCATGTCAAGATGGAGTGGCCTTTTCTTGGTGAAATATGTTTTTGCTAATGGTGTCGTGGAGATTTCTTCTTTGGATTCCTCATCTTCTTTCAAGGTTAATGGTCATCGGCTCAAGAGATATTTTGATGGAGTGTTTTTTATTCTTATTCATAAAATGATTCTTTTCAAGCCACCTTTAATAGGGTGGTAAACGTCGAGCTAACGACGTTAAACAAAAACGCTTACGGGAGGCAACGCGGATTCTCACCTCTACTCTCTTTTCTTTCCTTTATTTTATTTTTCTTTGTTGATTTTTGCTCCTACCTTTCCTTGTGTTTTTGGTTTGTTTTTTAGTTTGCCTTCATTCATCATCTATAGACTTAATGTGTTTGATGAGGATGGCAAAAGGAGATTTTGGAGTGCAGGGGAGAGGGCACCCCGCGGGCTTGGAGAGGACTCGGGTGCCCTTGCTTTAAAAAGAGGGAAATCGGATCAGTAGCCCTCCGCGGGTGCCTTAGAGAGGGCGCAGGGAGAATTGGAGAGGGCGCGACCTATTTTCACCAAAATGGATCAGGAACTTTCCGCGATTGCCCTGCGGGCGTGGCGAAGTCGGGAGAGGGCGCGACCCCTTAAATGTAAAAAAAATTGCTTTTTTTTTCTAGAATTAACCTGCGGTTGCCCCGCGATCTCTCCGCGGGCGCGACAATGTCGAGAGAGGACGCGGGCACCTGAGTTGTATAGTTAACCGGCTTCTTCCTTCTCTCTCTCTCTCCTCTTTTATTTTCCAATTCACCCTTAATTTTCCCCTTTCTCTCTCTTCCTCCTCTCGAACCCTAACCCCCAAATCATCTTTCTCACATAAATTTAATCAAATTCACCCATGTTTTCACTCAATTTTCCATCCCAATTTCCTTTATACTCCATTTTCATCAAGCATAATCTTTTTTCTCGTGGTTTTTTCGGGAAATTCGAGTCCTAGGCGGATTTTGAGCTTACTTTGAGTCTTCAATCTTGGTATACTTCTAACCTTTGTTTTATTGTTGTCAATTTCAATTGATTATTATACATTGGTTTTTGTTTGCCTTTATTAAGCATTACTATGATGTTTTTGGTAGTTTGTATGGTGATTTTGGAATTATTTTTAGTAATTTATTCCTATTTTTGTGTTGGATTGTTAATGTTGTTGGTTTTTGTTGGATTTTTTGTTGTTTTGTTGCTTGTTACAGGTACCTTGTAGTTTGTGGTGGTTTTGGGTGGTATTGTGAAGGTGTTAGAAATATTGGTGGTAGTGTTGGTGTTGATTTTGGGTGATTGTGTGATTTCTTGTGTTCGTTGAACTTGAGACTATGGATTTGTTAAGGAATGTTAAGAGCAGCAAGAAAAGCTCAAACCAATCCCCCGGCCAATCTCCCAAGGCCAATCCTCTCGTAGCCAACCTTCAAACACCAAACCTCCTCAAAACCAAACTACTCAAGATGATACCCTACCTTCTCCTTTACCTCCTCTCAAATGTCACAACCGGTGTAAACATGTCCCTATCTATAACAAAATGAAATCCCGGAAATTTAGACCTACCCGCAACTATCTTCCCGATGATATGGTCAAACTGAGAGTTGATGTCGATCTTGACATCTTACTTCGAAACCTTGGTTTGGATGAGTTTGTAAAGTCATCCCCGCGAACCTATTTGGAATCGTGCATTGAGTTTTTCTCAACCTTTAAGTATAATAGGTCGGGGGATACCGATTATATCATCTCTATCCAATTATTCAACTCAAAGCATACCATGAACCTTGCCGAATGTAACAAAGCCCTTGGCTTCAACCCCAATACCGACATCTATGAGCCCTTGGTTGCCCTTCTCAAGTCCGATTACAATGAGGTAGCATGGTGGAGAGCCATAGCTAAGAAGAAGGTATTTAACTCTAAGGATTCACTTGCTACTGAGGTCATTCAATCAGCTCTTAGAATTCTTCATCGGGTTCTTGGTTATGCCGTGTTTAATAAGAAAGATCTTGGGAAGCTTTCGAGGGAGGAGATCTTAGTTCTTTGGATGGCTATAAGGCGGGATTTGGGGCCAAGGTTGAATTTTGGGTATATTTTCATGAATTGTTGTCAAGTAATCATCAATGGGAAGAAGACAGGTGAGATTCATTGTGGTGGTATGATTACTAGATTGGTGCATTATTTCAAGAAAGAACGTTTCTTAAGGTCTTGCACTCCGATTGGAGG